ATGATGCTGTGATATGTGGTCTTGAAGGTGTTCCATTGTGCTGAAGAACAGCAGGTCAAATAAGAGCAAGACTGACACCCTGCCTGAACCTCTCTGCTGTGATCTTAGACACAAGAGTTTGCAGTGTTGTAGCTTACATGAAATTGACCACAGCAGTGTCAACTTAAAATAAATAATTTGAAGGCAGGTATCATTCATTGGATCTAGGTGGGCAGGGGTAGTTTGTACAAAGCGGGTCGAAGTGATCGACACCACCATACTGTTGTATTTTTCTGCAAGAACTGGCTTATTTATTATTTTGCCTCAAGAATTCCACTTTTCATAACTGTCATGTCCATAACATTCCTGGAGTAAACAGTAGATATCAGGCCAACATGCCTTTATCTTTTGTCACATAAAACAGGATGATCTGCCTTTTCTAGTTTCAATAGCTTTTTCTTCAAAAAATCAATCAGCACACATCCAATTATTTCATATGCAGGAAGATTGTCAAGATTAACAAGTTCATTTTGAGCAGTTTTTCTTCATTTGCCCTCTGGGAGCGAGTGAACAGTGCAGAAGCGCAAACAGATCAATACGGTCTGAGGAGAATGGCGCTGCAGGAAGTTACCAGGGGATTTGGTAGACACGCAACACTTAAGAGAAAGGTGAGACGGATAGACAATCAAACAGCTACTTGTGTCATCTGCATTTGGAACTCTTCGTTTGCTGTTGAAGATGGGGACAGATCGCTTATGGGAGTGACCCGAGTGCAATGATGTCAATTCTTAATTCAACATTCTCCATTTGCAAACAGTATTTTCAGCTGTAGAAATGTTCTAGTCTCTAGTGCCACGAGCCGGACTTTTCTTCAAAAATGACCTTGGCTCCCGGGTCGACCCAGCCTTGAGTGGGTACCCGATGCAGTCCCGGGAAGTAGAGGCGGCCGGCGTGATGCTGACCACATCATCCATCTTGTGCCGTTGGTCTATAAAATGTTGATCTTTAAAATATAGATCTAGCCCTATATGCCTAAAGGCGTGGAAAAGGGTCCTTTACTTACTTTACTTTTTTTTTTTACTTTTTAACTTGTGCCACGCTCACTCCTTTTTTCAGATGTACCTACATCACCTCTGTCATCACGTCTGTCATCGTTGTCTCTACTTCCAGTTGCGATACGACCATAATATTTCCTTGTGTATCTCTACTTGTCCAAGAATTATTGTTTTCAGCGCTACATTAGCTGGCAGAGATCCGAATCATCAATACAACAGGCCTGGCTTTCGTCCTCAGACATGACAAAACAGGCTGAATAAGCGCCGTCAATGAAAATTATCAAAATTTCACTGAAAACAACACCTGCATTGGCCAAAAGTGATACTGATCATGGGCGCTGTCATTTTGAAAAAATAAAAATACCCAGATAAAGCTCAATTCGAAAACTATCAGCACAGCCGTCTGTTTGCAGGCTGAATGTTCAAATTCACCGGTTGCCGAAGTTGGTCACCACGCGATATGACCGGAAATTCGCTGATCGTCGAAGTTGACCAGCTAAGTTTAAAAGGGGTTTTTAACTTTAACAGATCACTGTACCGCTTTTCCGGTAATTTGCTAATTTGCTGCTAAACTGGTGCACCTAATATTTGGTACTTTGCATACTACGTGAAAATAATGTGTCACAAACTAAAAATAATTAACCTATTGTTGTCAAACCTCATGGTTAGTCATTACAAATGGCTTCCCACACATTTTTGGATTAACTTTATGTGGTTTAATTTGAAAAAAATTCTTAAAGTTCACATTAAAACGAGCGATGGATGAACCAAGCACTTCGACAGGAAAGTGAGGTGAGTTCAGGCTTTTCACAGCCCAACAAGTGATCGATACTGGTTGATTCAGTTTCTGAGGAGTCAGAATTTCATCAAGAATATGTTCCGAGTTCAAGTGATACAGACAGTGAGAGCTCGAGTAATGAGGAGAATCTAGAACCTTACAGGTCTAGAACTAGATCTATAGTAAGAGAAGGGGGAACGTCCCTCAAACAGCAACATCTGGTGTTCACTTTGTGAAACAAGGCTGATCCTGCTGGGTGGATTGGCACATAAAGGTGGAAAATTGGCGCTAGATGAAAGGTAAACCTATTTTCTACAATGTCTCCAAGTTTCCTCTTATTCTAACCACTTGTTTGCAGGTAGCTAATATTTGTGCATATAATCTTGATTTTTTCGTATTAAAGCTCAGGAGCTCATGTATAGTGGACAGTTAAGTTTAGGGCCTCAGATCTGGTAGGGTTAACCTCTAAAATGCCTGTCCTGCAGCGTTAGTAATTATGTCTCTTTACAGCCTTCTGTCTCATGCACTGTCAAATCATTTCTGACACAGGTGTTCTTGTGGAATGTTGAATTAAGAATCAACATCACCGCACTCGAAACACTCCCATAAGTGCTCAGTCCTCATCTTCAGCAGCTAGTTAAGTGAAGAGTTCCAATTCCGATGGTACCAGTAACCGTCTGACTGTATATCCGTCTCATCATTCCTCTGAGTGTTGAGCGTCGTCCAGAACCCCTGGTAACTCCTAGCAGTGCCATTCTCTTTAGACAGTAATGATCCATCTGCACCTCCGCACTGTTCACTTGCTCCCAAAGGGCCTTCACAATACCTAACTTGTCATACATCAATTCACCACCTAATGGTGCAGAGCCAGCCAACCTATCTGCCTGCTCATTTCCCAACACACTGGCATGACCTAGAGAAAATATTCAAAGGTTGCTAACTACCCGGGACCTCTGAAGTGATGCTTGCCACTTTGCACGAAGCATGCTTTGTGTTCTTCCATCCGATAATGCAAATCTCTATACATATTTTCTTGTGGTCTCCCTCTGCGTCTGTTCCCTTTTAATTTGTCTAATGTCACAATGAACGCCCAAGTTATTTCACTCCCTATTATGTGCCCAAAATCTCAGAATTTGCCAGTCCCAACCCTGGATGAGAAAGGAAGAGGGTTGGGAATGAGACCATGTGAATGATTATTTTCTACAGAAACTTGCAGGAAAGGTAAACTGTTAAACAAATGAGTTAAGTGGCATGTGGTTTACAGAGTGCATGTATGACAGTTGCAGATGAAATTGCCTCTGTGGAAGTCAGTGGTTAGACCTGCACACTACTTGACTCAAAACTGTACAGGATAAAACAGAATGGAGAAATAGACTGCGAGCCCTTTCTTGATCCCAATGGAGCATAGGCCCTTAACCAACTCATGCTAAGTCATTCTATCCTTTGCTATCACATGCAGGTCTATCCCCATCTTTCTAACTTTATTCTCCAGCTCAATTCTCCATGTGTTTTTTTGGCCCTTCCTTTATTCCTATGCCCCTGTGGGTTCCAATGCAAAGACATTATAGTTATATTGTTCACCGGTTTTCTCAATGTGTGTCCTATCCAACGCCAGCGTGTTTTCTTCACCTCTTGGTCCACTGGAGCTTGCTTAGTTCTGTCCCAAAGCTGTACATTAGTGATTCTATCATATCATTTAATTCCCTCTATTCTGCGCAGGCACCAGTTGTTGAATGTCTGTAGTTTATCAGTAATTGTCTTAGCTGTTCTCCATGTTTCCGCCACATACAAAATTACCGATTTGACATTAGAATTAGAAAGTGTGAGCCCTATGTGACATGTAAAGGCACAAAAGACAATGAATAAATGATGTGCTCAAAGAATGTAGATGTTTTCCGGATGTAGGTAATCTGTTTTCATTTGTGAGTCAATTTCTTTTAGAATAATTTTATTATGCCTTTAATCTGTCAACTCTGTTCTCATCATTCTTCTTTAAAACCCCACCTCCGTACCGTTCACCTAAATTTTCCACTGGTCATCTGTTTTTTAACATGCTCAAATTACTCACAACTCTAGCTTAGGTGGTTTATAAAAGTAAAGGACCCTTTTCCGCACCTTTCAGGCATATTGGGCATATAGGGCTAGCCCTATATTTTATAGACCAATGGCACAAGATGAGTGATGTGGTCAGCATCCTGCCAGCCGCCTGGTACCCTCAAGGCTGGGTCAACCTGGGAGCCAAGGTCATTTTAAAAAAAAAATCCGGCTCTGCTAGGGAGCAAACCCACGACCTTCCGATACGCAGGCCAGTGTCTAGCCACTACGCCATGGTCACTCCCTTTTGTGGTTTTATTTCCGATTACTACAAGCATGTAGTAAATACAACATGAAGATCAATGTAAACAAAACCGAAACAATGCAAGTTAGTAGACATTCTGCCCCACTACACATATAGCTGAATGGTTCTGCCCTGAATCAAGTTAGAGAATTTAAATATCTAGGAAGTATGATCACAGAAAATGGTAGAATTGACAGAGAAATAGAAACCAGATGTCAGAAAGCAAGTGCACTTATATACCAATTGTCACCATTATTATGACATCCAAGCATAACTATGAGTGCAAAGAGACAGATTATTAATAGCAAATTTATTCCAACATTAAGCTACCAGTGCCAAACATGGACACTATCTAAAGTCCATATACGCAAAATTATCACCTGCGAGATGAGGTGCCTGAGAAAAGCAGCCAACCTAACCATACGAGATCGAGTGAATAATGAAACTATCAGGCAAATTGTGGGAACGACACCTTGTACTAGATTCATCGAGAAACAGCAGATTAAGTAGTTTGGCCATCTCAGAATGCAGCAAGATCAAATACCATCACAAGCACTACATCTCAGAAGATTAACTACAAGAGCAAGAGGACGGCTGCGGAAAACATGGATCGACAACATTAAAAACACTCTACGCCTTCACGGCATGACAATAGCCAGTGGCAGCCAACGTGCACTGGAACGCAAATTATTCCTCCCCACGACGCTTAACGGCAGAAGTGGTTTATGATGATGATGATGATGACTACAAGTAGGAATACATCATTACAAGTTTTAACTTTTTTAATGAACAGAGCTAGAGGTTATTTAATTTAAAATACGGATTAATTTAATTTATAAAGTTTAATTACTTGCGGTTTCATTGTATTTGGTCCGTCGCAGATATCTGATAATAAGGTAGCCAGGGATAAATATGGTTGCATAGCCCAGTAAGTTTACAAGCAGGCGCAAAAGCCAGAAGTCTGACCATTCCCATGATGTCGGAGTCACAGATCTATTTCCAGCTTCCTGTAAGGCTGATACTCCGAGGAGAGCAATAAATATAACAAACAGGCGCATTACTCAGTTCCCTGAAAGCAAAAAAAAAAAGTAAAAATAATTAGTACCAAGATGGTCTTAATGTAGCAAAAAAAACAGGTTCCCCTCTTGGAGTCTGAGCCCATCTGCATGAGAGGCAAGGAACCAACAGTCTACATACAAAATAAGCCAGATCTGTATAATAAATTTGCATGCAAAACTCAAGTTCTGGAGACAGACTAAAGTCCAACCGTGGCTGAACAACCAGGCTTGTCTGCTGGAGTTTACAGAAAGACAACGCTAAGGAGAAGATAAAAAAAAAAAAACATGGTGTGCTGGTAATTATAATGAATTCCAAAGACCCAAAAAAAATTATAATTTTAGTCAATTAAAAAATAAAATACACATCTCCAAACCAGAAGTGTATTGAGTATTATCCCATAATCCATTAGAACATTATGAGACTCCCATAATCCATGCAGCAAACTCCAATATCTTCAAGAACACAAGAAGAGTCCCATAATCCATGAGATAATTATCGGTCTCCCATAATCTTCCTAGGGGATTGAACTTCCCCACACAGTTTTATCTCAAACCCCCCAGTTATGGCCCTTGGAACCCCACAGGAGGTATTTATTTCCCTGGCCTACGTGTCTCGGCAGTCTGCTAAGAAGTCATCGACATGGCTGCTTCGAGATACCAGCTAAGTGATTTTTTGTATTTGTGTGGTATTGTTTGATTTCTTTATGTGCTGATGAAGGCCTCATAGCCGAAACGTCCACATTTTGTTTGTATTTGTTATATTGTGAAGCTTGCTAACATACTTTTCATTCAGTTTTATATCTTTTCAGAATTTTCAAGAACACATTATGATGTTGTACAACAAGATAACACAATTTTTTTTAATTCTCTTAGGTTGTTCTCCATGCAGTTTGGTGCAAAAATTCAAAAAATATAATGTGTTTATATTAAATAGTTGTGAAGCTGTGACATTATTGTTTTTCTATAAAGCTGCCACAAAGGGAAAATGTGGATGTCTTTTTTGCACGAACATATAGCCAAATGATGACGATGTCAAAAATATCATGCAATTTTTATTCTTGAAATCTGTCCTCTGTTCAATTTGGTGCAAAAATATAGAAGTTTATGTCAAATAGTTGTAAGCTGTGGAATCGTTAAATTATGTGGTATCTGGGAAAGTACAAGGTTAATAGTGGTAGTCCCTGGGTTAAAGATCTCCGCACGATTTTAGTTATTTTTAAAGCAAGGTACTTCAATTATGTTTTACTAAACAAACTTTTTTTTAAACCAGCTTATGTACTAGCTATAGTTATGAGGCCCCCACAGTGCACAGGCCTCTCCTATTTTTATGGCAATGGATTGGATTATGAAGACAGCAACTGCTTATACCAAGAATGAAATTCAGTGGACCCCTACAAAACAGCTTGATGATCTGGACTTCGCTGATGACATTTCTCTTCTGTCCCACTTACGGAATCAGATGTTAGATAAATTAAATATACTTCATGCGAGATCACAACAGCTAAGTCCAAAAATCTAAAAGGGCAAGAGGAAAAGATAGAGGAACTGATAGAAATATTAAAATACGATTACAAAAGGCAAGAGGTGCTTCCATAACACAAGAAAATTTGTGCAGGTCAAAAGACATTAAAATATTACTAAACTAAGAATTTTTGATTTTAATGTCAAATCAGTACTGTTGTACGGAGCGGAAACATGGAGAACGGCTAAGGCAATTAATAATAAGATACAAACATTCATTAATTGATGCCTGCTCAGAACATAGGGAATAAAATGGTATGATATAAATCACTAATGTAGAGCTTTGGGAGAGAAACACAAGTTCAAGTGGACCAAGAGGTGAAGAAAAGACACTGACATTGGATAGGACCCACATTTAGAAAACCTGAGAAGAATATAACTAGAATGTCTTTGCACTGGAACCCACAGGGACATAGATAAAAAGGAATACCTAAAACACATGAAGAAAGAAAGCTAGAGAGGGAAGTTAAAAAGATGGAGAAGCGGAGGACATGAGGAGAGCTGCGTGTGATAGTGAGGGATATAATCACTAGGCGTGAGCTGGCTGATGGCCTATGTTTGACTGGGGGTTAAAAGAGCAGAACAAGCGGTTGTAAAGCTATGGACATTATTGTAGACACTAAATATACTAGCCATAATTATGAGCCAACCCCCCCCCCCCCACCCCCCCACGCGCCTTAGCTTTAACAAAAAAAAAGGGTCCCTTAATGAAGCCTGTATGTTAGTTATTTAAAAATTCTAAAAGATAAATAATGTAACTGATAATATATGTGTACTGTACTGTAACACACACATATATATCTTCTTCTTCTTTTTTCTACTCCTCGAATGCCTTGTGCAGAAAGAGATCTCTGGAACGGACCCTTCTGTTCACTTCAGATATAGTAATTTTCAGTGTCTCTAATATTTCAGCGGTCCATATTTTGCGTGGTTCATCTCTGGTACTGTTACAATTGCATCTGTATGGCATTGCTCTCTGTGGTGCCCTGTCTGATGCAAATGTTGTTACATGGCCAAACCATATGATTTGTTTTCTACTTATAAAGTTCAGTATTGGTTCTGTGCTGACTTGCCTCCTGATATCATTGTTCCTAACTTGATCTTTCCTTGTTACACCTAGTATAGTACGTAAACATTTCATTTCTGTTGTGACTATTTTTCTTATATTTTCTGAAGAAAGACACACACACACATATATATATATATATATCTATCATCATCATCAGATGTCTTGCCAACTGGCATGGGCGATCATGCCTCTCCACAGTCTGCGATCTCCTGCAGCATGTATCAGTTCATGTGCTGACACACCTCCATGCCATGCAACAAGACTGTCAAGAATCTTCTCTCATTGTCTTCCTCTATCCCTCCTTCCACAGATCTTTCCAGTGGTCAAATGTTCCATTTTCCCTCTTCTCTTAACATGGCCGAAAAATGATGACTGTCTTGTTCTGATGTCTGTGATAAGGCATCTTCAGGCTCCTGCCTCTTTCTCTTGGTTGCTCTTTTTGGCTGTCCAAGGTAATTTGGCAGTCTTCTGTAAAACCACATCTCTAATTCCTCAAGAAATTGTCTGACCTAGATTCACAGCCATATATCAAAACTGTGTATGTATGTAGCAAGCAAGAATTATTTTTCTAACCTTCAAATATAATATATTTGAAATATAAATTATATAATTACAATGGATACAAATAAAATAACATTTTTATTTTCAGTAATAAATGTAGTAATACTGATCTCTTCCTCAGAGATGTGGTTTTACAGAAGACTGCTAAATTACCTTGGACAGCCAAAAAGAGCAACCAAGTTAAGCAAGTAACTTTTTTTTTTTCAATTCCATAAAACCAAGATTGATAACGGAACGGACGATAAATAATAATTAATTAATTATTATCCTTAGTTAATAAACTCGTCTGGTTTATAACTTTATAATTAATATTGAATATCAATATATATAAATTTTTGGGGGGAGCCTGTTTAGATACTGGGTGGATATTCCTATTTATCTAATACATAACAGTACAATAATTTAATCTAAGTTAGCATTTTATATTATACGATTTATTTTAAAATGTTAATAAAAAATTAGAAACAAGAAAGAGAAACTGAGAAACTACCACCACAACCAACCTCAACAAGGGGCTAACGAAAGCAGGAAGGAAACCGTCCGGCGAATAGTTTACAAGTCGATATTCACCGCACACCATACAGTGTGGTAGCCAGCTGAATAAATACACACATACATTAATATAATCAAGTGAATTGGCCGGGTCTGGTGATACAAAAACTATAATAAATGAAAGCCCCTTCTCGCTCCGTGTCGGGACACATTTTGCAAAGCAGACGTCTCTCTCTCCGTCTCTGGTTGGCCAGATAAGTTCTTCGGCAAAGGAGGATGGGCTAAAATATGTCGAACAACACAGCGCTGCTCAGTTCAGTTCTTATTTATTTTATTATGTCAACTCTTTTCCCCTGTGTCTTCATGGGGGGTCCTATTGTGAGGGAAAACAAGAATATACACGCCGCCTACTCAAAAGCATGTCGAATGAGTCGATTAAGTACTTTAATTTTAGCTTAATCCTGGGGAAGCCTCATATAGTGGTGTTAGGGTAAGTCGATGTTAATTTCAAACTGTAAAACTCCTATAATATTGAACTTTCCGGGTGATACCGGGGTTCCTCTTCCTCAAAATGAAAATACCCTTGACTAATTAGGAGCGTCCTTCGAGGTCGCAGTGCATCTGCCTGACAGGCAAGGAAACAGGTCTGCATACAAATGAATCAAATATGGAAAACGGATGCGCATGCAACACTCAGGTTCTGGAAAAGGACTGTAGTCCATAAGTTGACCAACAGCCGGAACTTTCCCCTGGAGTTTACAGGTGGTGAACTCAAAGAAGAAGAAGAAAAAAGAAAAAAATTATCAACTCTGCTTCTTCTTCTTCTGCTTCTTCCCTTTTTTCGTGTTCGTCTTCAAAAGGACGATTGGCATGTTGTGTTCTGGTTTACAGCTAGGCTGTGATATCTGCAACTGTGGCCCAAAACATCCGGTTTCAGCATATTTTATTTATATCCCAAACAGGGACTAGAACCCAGAAAAAGACATTTTACTTTGGTTTTCGCTTCAGATCTCATTACCTATAATCTGTCAGAAAACTAAACTGTGCCACGTTCGTATGTAATAATTTAACTCTTTCATTCACAGAAAAGTGTTACTTTGAAATCATTATTATAATCCACTCTGCCGTTTGTAGTACTTTTTACCGTCTCCGATACTTTCGCTGAACATCTTCTGCGTGGTGTCGACCTCTGGCTCTGATACCGGTGTAATTGTAGAAAACTGATCTTTGTGATGCCCTGTACGTTGCCAATCACATATAGCTAAACCATTTGATTTGTTGTCTACCGAAAAAGTCCAGTATTGGTTCCGTATTGACTCTCCTCCTGATATCATCGTTCCTAAGTCGATCTTTCACT